AGTAAAGACAGGTGTAAGAAATTATAAAAGCATTAATTTGGGGAACTAATAAATGTCCGTGAAATCTTCACAATTTATGTTTAGAGATTACAGTAAAGACAGGTGTAAGAAATTATAAAAGCATTAATTTGGGGAACTAATAAATGTCCGTGAAATCTTCACAATTTATGTTTAGAGATTACAGTAAAGACAGGTGTAAGAAATTATAAAAGCATTAATTTGGGGAACTAATAAATGTCCGTGAAATCTTCACAATTTATGTTTAGAGATTACAGTAAAGACAGGTGTAAGAAATTATAAAAGCATTAATTTGGGGAACTAATAAATGTCCGTGAAATCTTCACAATTTATGTTTAGAGATTACAGTAAAGACAGGTGTAAGAAATTATAAAAGCATTAATTTGGGGAACTAATAAATGTCCGTGAAATCTTCACAATTTATGTTTAGAGATTACAGTAAAGACAGGTGTAAGAAATTATAAAAGCATTAATTTGGGGAACTAATAAATGTCCGTGAAATCTTCACAATTTATGTTTAGAGATTACAGTAAAGACAGGTGTAAGAAATTATAAAAGCATTAATTTGGGGAACTAATAAATGTCCGTGAAATCTTCACAATTTATGTTTAGAGATTACAGTAAAGACAGGTGTAAGAAATTATAAAAGCATTAATTTGGGGAACTAATAAATGTCCGTGAAATCTTCACAATTTATGTTTAGAGATTACAGTAAAGACAGGTGTAAGAAATTATAAAAGCATTAATTTGGGGAACTAATAAATGTCCGTGAAATCTTCACAATTTATGTTTAGAGATTACAGTAAAGACAGGTGTAAGAAATTATAAAAGCATTAATTTGGGGAACTAATAAATGTCCGTGAAATCTTCACAATTTATGTTTAGAGATTACAGTAAAGACAGGTGTAAGAAATTATAAAAGCATTAATTTGGGGAACTAATAAATGTCCGTGAAATCTTCACAATTTATGTTTAGAGATTACAGTAAAGACAGGTGTAAGAAATTATAAAAGCATTAATTTGGGGAACTAATAAATGTCCGTGAAATCTTCACAATTTATGTTTAGAGATTACAGTAAAGACAGGTGTAAGAAATTATAAAAGCATTAATTTGGGGAACTAATAAATGTCCGTGAAATCTTCACAATTTATGTTTAGAGATTACAGTAAAGACAGGTGTAAGAAATTATAAAAGCATTAATTTGGGGAACTAATAAATGTCCGTGAAATCTTCACAATTTATGTTTAGAGATTACAGTAAAGACAGGTGTAAGAAATTATAAAAGCATTAATTTGGGGAACTAATAAATGTCCGTGAAATCTTCACAATTTATGTTTAGAGATTACAGTAAAGACAGGTGTAAGAAATTATAAAAGCATTAATTTGGGGAACTAATAAATGTCCGTGAAATCTTCACAATTTATGTTTAGAGATTACAGTAAAGACAGGTGTAAGAAATTATAAAAGCATTAATTTGGGGAACTAATAAATGTCCGTGAAATCTTCACAATTTATGTTTAGAGATTACAGTAAAGACAGGTGTAAGAAATTATAAAAGCATTAATTTGGGGAACTAATAAATGTCCGTGAAATCTTCACAATTTATGTTTAGAGATTACAGTAAAGACAGGTGTAAGAAATTATAAAAGCATTAATTTGGGGAACTAATAAATGTCCGTGAAATCTTCACAATTTATGTTTAGAGATTACAGTAAAGACAGGTGTAAGAAATTATAAAAGCATTAATTTGGGGAACTAATAAATGTCCGTGAAATCTTCACAATTTATGTTTAGAGATTACAGTAAAGACAGGTGTAAGAAATTATAAAAGCATTAATTTGGGGAACTAATAAATGTCCGTGAAATCTTCACAATTTATGTTTAGAGATTACAGTAAAGACAGGTGTAAGAAATTATAAAAGCATTAATTTGGGGAACTAATAAATGTCCGTGAAATCTTCACAATTTATGTTTAGAGATTACAGTAAAGACAGGTGTAAGAAATTATAAAAGCATTAATTTGGGGAACTAATAAATGTCCGTGAAATCTTCACAATTTATGTTTAGAGATTACAGTAAAGACAGGTGTAAGAAATTATAAAAGCATTAATTTGGGGAACTAATAAATGTCCGTGAAATCTTCACAATTTATGTTTAGAGATTACAGTAAAGACAGGTGTAAGAAATTATAAAAGCATTAATTTGGGGAACTAATAAATGTCCGTGAAATCTTCACAATTTATGTTTAGAGATTACAGTAAAGACAGGTGTAAGAAATTATAAAAGCATTAATTTGGGGAACTAATAAATGTCCGTGAAATCTTCACAATTTATGTTTAGAGATTACAGTAAAGACAGGTGTAAGAAATTATAAAAGCATTAATTTGGGGAACTAATAAATGTCCGTGAAATCTTCACAATTTATGTTTAGAGATTACAGTAAAGACAGGTGTAAGAAATTATAAAAGCATTAATTTGGGGAACTAATAAATGTCCGTGAAATCTTCACAATTTATGTTTAGAGATTACAGTAAAGACAGGTGTAAGAAATTATAAAAGCATTAATTTGGGGAACTAATAAATGTCCGTGAAATCTTCACAATTTATGTTTAGAGATTACAGTAAAGACAGGTGTAAGAAATTATAAAAGCATTAATTTGGGGAACTAATAAATGTCCGTGAAATCTTCACAATTTATGTTTAGAGATTACAGTAAAGACAGGTGTAAGAAATTATAAAAGCATTAATTTGGGGAACTAATAAATGTCCGTGAAATCTTCACAATTTATGTTTAGAGATTACAGTAAAGACAGGTGTAAGAAATTATAAAAGCATTAATTTGGGGAACTAATAAATGTCCGTGAAATCTTCACAATTTATGTTTAGAGATTACAGTAAAGACAGGTGTAAGAAATTATAAAAGCATTAATTTGGGGAACTAATAAATGTCCGTGAAATCTTCACAATTTATGTTTAGAGATTACAGTAAAGACAGGTGTAAGAAATTATAAAAGCATTAATTTGGGGAACTAATAAATGTCCGTGAAATCTTCACAATTTATGTTTAGAGATTACAGTAAAGACAGGTGTAAGAAATTATAAAAGCATTAATTTGGGGAACTAATAAATGTCCGTGAAATCTTCACAATTTATGTTTAGAGATTACAGTAAAGACAGGTGTAAGAAATTATAAAAGCATTAATTTGGGGAACTAATAAATGTCCGTGAAATCTTCACAATTTATGTTTAGAGATTACAGTAAAGACAGGTGTAAGAAATTATAAAAGCATTAATTTGGGGAACTAATAAATGTCCGTGAAATCTTCACAATTTATGTTTAGAGATTACAGTAAAGACAGGTGTAAGAAATTATAAAAGCATTAATTTGGGGAACTAATAAATGTCCGTGAAATCTTCACAATTTATGTTTAGAGATTACAGTAAAGACAGGTGTAAGAAATTATAAAAGCATTAATTTGGGGAACTAATAAATGTCCGTGAAATCTTCACAATTTATGTTTAGAGATTACAGTAAAGACAGGTGTAAGAAATTATAAAAGCATTAATTTGGGGAACTAATAAATGTCCGTGAAATCTTCACAATTTATGTTTAGAGATTACAGTAAAGACAGGTGTAAGAAATTATAAAAGCATTAATTTGGGGAACTAATAAATGTCCGTGAAATCTTCACAATTTATGTTTAGAGATTACAGTAAAGACAGGTGTAAGAAATTATAAAAGCATTAATTTGGGGAACTAATAAATGTCCGTGAAATCTTCACAATTTATGTTTAGAGATTACAGTAAAGACAGGTGTAAGAAATTATAAAAGCATTAATTTGGGGAACTAATAAATGTCCGTGAAATCTTCACAATTTATGTTCTTCTGCCGCAGCTTCAGCCGGTCCCTCTGTTCAGGGTCCCTGACTTCCTGCAACACATGTGTCAGTGGATGGGGCAGGCAAACCCAGAGGTCAGAGGGATCAGATTGGTCTCCAGTGAGGCCTGTGTCCCTTGCTGAGCTCACTGGGCTGAAGACTTGGGCAGACACATGGGGAGCAAGTGACAGGAACCAGAAATTGAGTAGTTTTCATGATGCTTGCTATGTCCGGAGACTTTTCCTTTTGGAGCTTTTCACCCTCAAGTTTAATTCTAGCCTCTGTCTTTATTGCAATTAAAGACGCGTTGCCGACCACCACCTTATCTGCATTGACAGTAGGTAAATAATCCTCTCAACCCTTCCTAGGGCTCACTCTCTACCTCTGGACAAATGTTTTTTTCTGGAAAGGATAGGATGAGGGTCAAGGTGGGCCCCTGTCTTTTTCATGTCCTTGTGCATTAGTGGGAGGAAGTTGGAGTCTCTGGGGAGCCAGTCGTGGTTCTGGTGTTGGAGGCTGGAGGGTGCTGGTGACCTGTCTCCCACGGGATCCTCTTCCAAGTATCAGGAAAGATCCTCATCCACATGCTGAGGACAAGTCCTGGAGGTCTCCCTACATCCTAATGGGACCTCGTTCCTGGCCCTCCGGCCATGCACTGCAGACCTGCAAGGGTGGGTGACAGTTCCTGTCCCTGCAGCTGTCTGGCCAAGGCATTGCCATCCTTGACAATTTGCCAGAAGCCAGGGAGGACTACGTGGGTGCCACCTAACTCTTGAACATGGGGACAGCATGGGCCTGCCCTCTGGAGCTGTGACACTCCATCCTGTGTGTGCCCAGAGTAGGGAGTAGGGCGCCTACTCCTGTCACCTCCACTGGGGTCACAGATGCTTCCCCAAAACTTGATCCTCCATAAACCCGGGCAGGATAGCGTATCACCTCTCCTTCCACTGTGATGAAGCTGAACCTCTGGTTGCAGTCATACTCAATCGTGACTGCCTGCCCAGGTGACTTTGGCATTAGGAAGTGCCCTGAGTGTGGAATATGCCTTAGATCCTTGACCTCCTGATAGAGATGGATGAAGGGTTCTTGTGTTCCCCTGTAGGACCTGAATCCAGTTTGGCCCTGAGGCTGGTGAATGGAGGTGACAGGTGTCAGGGCCGAGTGGAGGTCCTATACCGAGGCTCCTGGGGCACTGTGTGTGATGACAGCTGGGACACCAATGATGCCAATGTGGTCTGCAGGCAGCTGGGCTGTGGCTGGGCCATATCAGCCCCAGGAAATGCTCGGTTTGGGCAGGGCTCAGGACCCATTGTCCTGGACGACGTGCGCTGCTCAGGGCATGAGTCCTACCTGTGGAATTGCTCCCACAATGGCTGGCTCTCCCACAACTGTGGCCATAGTGAAGACGCTGGTGTCATCTGCTCAGGTGAGTCTCTAAGACTTTGGGTCTCCTCTCTTGGGGTAGATTTTGCTCAGGAAGTGAGATCTTAATATGTTCTAATCTCCTCACTCAGAGCTTTTTCAACCTTTCCTGTATTTCTGATATCTCCTTAGCCCTCTCCTAGGAAACTGCATGAGTCTTTGCCACATTACCAGGTTTTGAGGAGTTCAGGGAGAAAAATGGGCCAAAGTGTAATAAGGGTCACGTCTTCGTTCATCTACTGAGGCAGCGCAAGCAGAGGGAGTTTGCCTTTTAGTGTGGCTGGAAAGGAATAGCTGGGGCCAGGTTGTTCATGAAGATAGAGGTTGATTTGGGTCATGGCTTTGCAGGCTGCATAGGAGCATGATATCTGCTTGGCTTCTGTTGATGGCCTCAGGCTGCTTTAGCTCCTGGCAGAAGGAGATGGGGAGCTGTCCTGGGCAGAGGTCACATGACAAGTGAAGGAAGCAAGAGAGGGCAAGAGGGAGGGCCCAGACTCTTCAACCACCAGCTCTTGCTAGGAACTAAGAGAAGAACTCACCCTTGACCAGAGAAGGCACTAAGTGATTCATAAAGGGTTGGCCTCCATGACCCAGACATGGGACATCAGGCCTCACCTCTATACTTGGGGTTTCCAATCCCAAAATGAGTCTTGGATGGGACAAACATCCAATCTATAGCACACTGTCTCTCCAAAGTTCCGCCTTTCCCCTACTGAAAGGTTTAGGTGACAGTGAGGTGGATGCAGCACATATAGGCATTGGGGGAGGGTCAATCTCACTGGGAGGAGCCCAGAAACAAAGGCTCATGCTCGGAAGGGAGGGTGTTCTGGTGAGGCCCAGTAAGGAGGCCTTAGACTGGAAACACAAGGCTTGGAATGCAGATCTGTGTCTGTCCATGTCTGGCCTGGGTTTTGGGGGTGTGAGTGCTTGACTGCAATTCCCTCCAGAGAACTGCAGTGTCCTGCCTGTGCACTGGTCAGGTGTGGGGTGGGCAGTGCCCCTGAGGCCTGCTGAGCAAAGCCTTGTTCTGAATGACTGTGGACTGCGCTGGAAGACCACAGGCTGGATTTCTGCTAGAGTGGCCTCTTCATGCTTGCTGACTCAGGGACTGCTAAGACATGCAAGCAAGGGAGAGGGTTGGTTTTGTGTCAACCTGATTACTATGGACAGACACAAACTTAATCACTTTGGAGCTGGCAGTAGTGGCAGCATCTGCCCAGACATCTTCCAAGGAGCATCCTTGTGGGGACATGCATGGCAATGCCCCTCCCTCTTGATGGGGAACTAGCATAGACTGAACGCATGACCTGTTTAGTTCCTTCCACCTTTGGTCCCGTTTTGCCAGCTTCTGTGTAGTGCATCTGGTCTGACCTCCTCTTTCTCACAGCTGCCCAGTCCCAGTTGATGCCCAGGCCAGGTGATTCCCCAGTGTCCTTCCTTGGAATGTCCCTTTTCTTTCTGCACAATTGTCCTTTTCCCCACTCTGCAGAGCCCTCCTTCTTATCCGTGTGGATACCGTGGGTCATACTATTTTCCCTGCTCTGTAACTGAGACCCTAGCATGAAGCTTCTTAACCAGACATGGTTAAGAAGGTATGATCTTTCTAAGAATTGAGAGTGATTGCCAAAGTCTCCTGGGAAGGCAATGTCAGCTATAGCCTTAAACATGACTGTCCGTGGGCAAGCAATGTCAGTGCAGGCCTGATACCTCCATTCCTCACTCCTTCAAACACCCCCAGATGCGGCAGGGCCCCGTCTACCTCCAAAAAAGGCAGAGGCCCTGCTCGGGCAGGGAGAGATATATTAGATATTTCTGGTGCCTCCACTTGCCAGGAGACTTTATACTCCTTTGGGCAGCTCCCCAATCCTTCTAACATTTTAGTTTCAAGTGTGAGAGTCTCAGCAATGGTGTCCAATGTGCCCATCAGTCCATTGTCTGTGGATGGGGCAGGTAAACCTTTTGTAGCTGAGAAGAGGATATTCCACACTTCAGAGGTAGGAGGGATCCGACTGGTCTCCAGTGAGGCCTATGTCCCTGGCTGTGCTCCCTGAGCTACAGACTTGGGCAGACACATGGGGAGCAAGTGGCAGGAACCAGAAATCGAGTAGTTTTCATGATGCTTGCCTTGTCCAGAGACCTTTCATTTTGGAGTTTTTCACCCTCAAGTTTAACTCTAGCCTTTGTCTTTGTTGCAATTTACAGACACGTTGTCGACCACCACCTTACCTGCATCGACAGTAGGTAAATAATCCTCTCACCCCTCCCTAGGGCTCACTCTCTACCTCTGGACAAATGTTTTGAATGAAAATGATAGGATGAGGGTCAAGGTGGGCCCTTCTCTGTTTCATGTCCCTGTGCATTGAGTGAGAGGAAGTTGGAGTCTCTGGGGAGCCAGTCCTGGGTCAGGTGTTGGAGGGTGGATGGTGTTGGTGACCTGTCTCCTGTGGGACCCTGTTCCAAGTATCAGGAAATATCCTCATTCAGGTGCTCAGGACAAGCCCTGGAGGGCTCCCTACTCCTGGGACCTCATTCCTGGCCCTCCGGCCATGCATTGCAGACCTGCAAGGATGGGTGAAAATTTCTGTCCCTGCAGCTGACTGGCCAAGGCCTTGTCATCCCTGGTAATTTTCCAGAAGTCAGAGAGGACCACGTGGGTGCCACCAAAGTCTTCAACATGGGGACAGCATGGGCCTGGCCTCTGGGGCTGTGGAGCTCCATCCTGTGTGTGCTCAGAGTAGGGAGTGGGGCATCCATTCCTGTCACCTCCACTGGGGTCACAGGTGCTTCCCCAAAACCTGAGACTCCACAAACCCAGGCAGAATAGGGTATCACCTCTCCTTCCACTGTGATGAAGCTGAACCTCTGGTTGCAGTCATACTCTATCGTGACTGCTTGTCCAGGTGACCTTGGCCATTAGGAAGTGCCCTGAGTGTGGAATGTGCCTTAGATCCTTGACCTCATGGTAGGGATGGATGAAGGGTTCTTGTGTTCCCCCGTAGGATCTGAATCCAGTTTGGCCGTGAGGCTGGTGAATGGAAGTGACAGGTGTCAGGGCCGAGTAGAGGTCCTATACCAAGGCTCCTGGGGCACCGTGTGTGATGACAGCTGGGACACCAGTGATGCCAATGTGGTCTGCAGGCAGCTGGGCTGTGGCTGGGCCACATCAGCCCCAGGAAATGCCCGGTTTGGCCAGGGGTCAGGACCCATTGTCCTGGATGATGTGCGCTGCTCAGGACACGAGTCCTACCTGTGGAGCTGCCCCCACAATGGCTGGCTCTCCCACAACTGTGGCCATCATGAAGACGCTGGTGTCATCTGCTCAGGTGGGCCTCCAACACCTTGGGTTCCCTCTCCTAGACTGGAGTTTGCTTAGGAAGAAAATCCTAATTACATTCTGATCTCCTCACTCAAAGCTTCTTCTATGTTTCCCGTATTTATGCAGTCTTGTTAGCTCTCTGCTAAGAATCTGTATGAATTTCGCTATAGGGCCTGGTGTTCCTGTGGTCACTTAGGACAGGGGACCAAACTCAAACAACCCAGACTTTCTCCCTTTGTTGAGGCAGTGTGAGGAAGAGGCAGAAGAGAAAAGTGCTGGCTCCCCAGGGTTCCATTTCTTCCCTGCTGAGTAGCACTGGGTGAGGGTATCATGGACGCAGGACAGACAGCAAGGCAGGGGAGGAATCCTCTAGCTGCGAGGAACTTTGAACTAAAAATGCTTGTCTGGAAGTGGGTTCTCAGCTGAGACCCAGTGAGGACGTCTGCAAATAGAGGCTCAAGGGTTAGGAATGTAAATGTGTGTCTCTTCATGTCAGGCCTGAGTTGTGTGGGGTTGGAGTTCTTGACCTCAGCTCCTCTTAGAACGCTGCTGAGCATTGCCTGTGCCCCAGGTCTGGTGTGGGGAGGGCAGCCCACATGAGGCCGGCCAGGCATGGCCTTGTTATTGCCTCTGGTCCGGGCTGGAAGATCACACAAGGGATTTTGGCTGGAGTGGCTTCCTCAGCCTTGTTGACTCAGAAATGCCTAAGACGTGCAAGGGAGAGGGTGGGTTTGGGGTCATCCTGGTTACCCTGGGCAGACACAAAGTTAATCACCTCAGAGCTGGCAATAGTGGACAGGATCTGCCTCGACCCCTTACACGGTACCTCTCTGTGGGGATGGCATGGCAATGTCCCTGCCTGTGTGATCGGAACTAGGATGGACTGAGTGTCACACTTGCCCATTTCTTTCCCTCGTTCCAGTTTTGCAGACTTCTGTGTAACGTGCCTGATCTGACCTTCTCTTCTCTTTCTCACAGTTTCCCAGTCCCAGTCGACACCCGGTCCAGGTAAGTTTCCAGTGTCCTTCCTCAAAACGTCCCTTCTCTTTCTGCCCAATCACCCCTTCCCCACTCCACAGAGCTCTCCTGTTTCTGTCTGTGGATACTGTGGAGCATGTTATTTCTACCCTCAACACCGGCTATGTAACTGAGACCCCAGCACAACGCTTTTTAAACACACGTCGGATTCAGGAGGCTTCTGTCTTCTTTTCAACCCCTCTCACCTTAATGAAACAGTTTCAAACTGTCCCAGTGGACAACCCTTACAGGTTCAGGAATTGGCCCGTGTTTAATCAGCTTTGGTCCTTTTATATTCAGGACTCACGTATAGTTTCTGAAAATTGAGGGTGTCACCTTCTGAACTGTTCAAGGCATCGTCAGGGCAGGCTCAATACCCCCATCCATCGCTGCTGGAAAAATTCCAAGATTATGATGGGCCGCATTTGTATCCAAAATAGGCAGAGTTTGTGCTTGGGCAGGGAAAGGGATAATAAAGGTTTGTGGTGTCTCTGCTTAGCCAGAAACCTGATTCCTGATTGTCCCCTGGGAAGCCCCTGGTTCCCCTAACATTTTAGCTTCCAGTGTACGAGCCTCAGCAATGGCGTCTGATATCCTAGTCAGTCCATGCATCAGCAGATGTGGGATGGCATGGTGGGGAGCATCCCCTAACACATAGAAAGATACCTCAGGATTAGAGAAATGGAGAGCTCAGTCTGGTCTCCAGCAGGACCTTTGCCCCTGGATGAGTTCACAGCAGAGGAGACCTGGGCAGACACATGGGAAGCAAGTGGCAGAAACAGGAAGTGCAATTGTTTCCAGTTTGATTCCCCCTCCCACGGAACCTTTTGTTCTGGGCCTTTTCCCTTCAAGTCTAATTCTGTCTTTTTTCTTTGTTGCAATTTACAGACACTTGGCTAACCTCACCTGCGTCAACAGCAGGTAAATAATCCTCTCACCCCTCCCTAGGGCTCACTATCTCTGGACATATTTTGTGTTTCAAACTGATAGGATGCGGCTCAGGGTGGGCCCCTCTCTTTCATATCCCTGTGGGTTGCGTGGGAGGAAGGTGGAGTCTCTGGTGAGCCAGTCCTGGGTCTGATGTTGGAGGCTGGAGGCTGCTGGTGATCTGTCTCTCATGGGACCCTGTTCCAAGTGTTCGGGAATGATTCTCATCCAGGTGCTCAGGACAAGCACTGGAGGGCTCCCTAATACTGTAGGGACCTCATTCCTGGCCTTCTGACCATGCACTGCAGACCTGCAAAAGTGCGTGAAAATTTCTATCCGTGCAGCTCTCTGGCCATGGCCCCGCTATCCCTGGCAATTTGCCAGAAACCAGAGAGGACAGCATGGGTGCCACCAAACTCTTGAACATGGGGCCAGCATGGGCCTGCCCTCTGGAACTGTGGAGCTCCATCCTGTGTGTGCCCAGAGTAGGGAGTGGGGATACCATTCCTGTCACCTCCACTGGGGTCACAGATGATTCCCCAAACTCCGAGCCTCCATAAACCCGGGCAGCATAGTACATCACCTCTCCTTCCCCTGTGATAAAGCTGAACGTCTGGTAGCAGTAATATACAATCCTTGATAGGGATGGATGAAGGGTTCTTGTGTTCCCCTGTAGGATCTGAATCCAGTTTGGCCCTGAGGCTGGTGAATGGAGGTGACAGGTGTCAGGGCCGAGTGGAGGTCCTATACCGAGGCTCCTGGGGCACCGTGTGTGATGACTACTGGGACACCAATGATGCCAATGTGGTCTGCAGGCAGCTGGGCTGTGGCTGGGCCACATCAGCCCCAGGAAATGCCCGGTTTGGCCAGGGCTCAGGACCCATTGTCCTGGATGACATGAGCTGCTCAGGACAGGAGTCCTACCTGTGGAACTGTCCCCACAGAGGCTGGCTCTCCCACAACTGTGGCCATCATGAGGACGCTGGTGTCATTTGCTCAGGTGGGCCTTCAAGACCTTGGGCTCCCACTCTTAAGTTCCAGTTTGCTCGGGAAGAAAATCCTAATTACATTCTGATCTCCTCACTCAAAGCTTCTTCTCTGTTTTCTATATTTCTGTAGTCTTGTTAGCTCTCTGCTAAGAATCTGTATGAATTTTGCTACAGTACCTGGTCACTTCGGCCAGGGCTCCAAACTGAGACAACCACCCAGACTTTATCCCCTTCCTGAGCGATGTGCAAGGAAAAGGCCAGAAGAGAAACATGCATGGCTCCCCAGGGCTCCATTTCTCCCCTGCTTGAGTAAGCGCTGGGTGGAGGGCTATTCGTGACATAAGTACTAGCAGCCACGGCCAGCAGGGCAACGGGATCCTCATGACTGCGAGGAACTCTGAACTAAAGAATTGCTTGTCCTGGAAATGGATTCTCAGCTGAGACACACAGTGAGGACCAGTCTGGAAATGCGACTCAAGGGACTAGGAGTTGGCAAAGCAATTTCTGTTTGGTGGTTCAGGCTGGTGCACTGGGGTTGGAGTACTTAGACCTCAGGTCTCTCTAGAACGCGCCAAGAGCACTGCCTGTGACCCCAGGTCCGGTTGCAGTAGAGAGCATGCAAACCCCCATGAAGCCAGCCAGAGCATGGCTTGTATATGCCTGTGGTACCGGGTCTAGGATAGATCACCAATGCATTTGGGCTGTAGGTGGCCTCCTAGCCTTGCTGACTCAGGAAGTGCCAAAACATGCAAGGGAGAGAGGTTAGCTTTGGTCACATCTGGTGCACCTGGAGCAGAACAAAGTCACTCACCCTCAGAGCTGACAATAGTGGACTGGGACTGCCCGACCCCTTATATGGTGGCCGTCTCTGTGGGGGTGTGCCACGGCCAAATGTCTCCCTCCTGGACAGGGACTAAGGATGGACTGAGTGTCAGGCTTGCCCAGTTCCTTCTTCCCTTTGTTCGCGGTTTTGCCATTTTTCTGTATAGTGCATCTATCTGACCTTCTTCCTTTCCCTCCACAGCTGCCTCAGCTCCAGTCAAAACGCCAAAGCCAGGTGACGTCCCCAGCATCCTTCACTCAGGATTCCCTTCTCTTTCTGCCCAGTTACTCTTCCCCACTCCACAGAGCTCTCCTGCTTCTCTGTGCAGATACTGTGGGGCATGTTATTTTCACCCCCACCACATCTGTAACCTGAGGGGCCGGGCCAGCAACATGCTTCAACAGACCTAGGGTTCAGCAGGCTTTCTGTTTCTGTTCAAATTTCTGTCAGCTTTCATGAAGCCGTTTCATCACTGTACATGACAACCTTACAGTTCCAGCGAAGTGGCCTCTGTTAATGAGTTTTGGCTCCTTCCATATTCAGAGCTGATATACACCTTTCTGAGAACTGAGCAGTCGATTGCCAAGTCACCATGGGAAGACAATGTCAGTCAAAGCCTTAAACATGACTTCTGCGTGGGCAAGCAATGTCATGCAGGGCCTGATAACCTCCATCCCTCACTACTTCAAACAGGCCCAGATTGATTGCAGGGCCACATCTGCATCCCAGCAAAAGGCAGAGCGGCCATCGCTTGGGCAGGGAGAGGGATAATCACAATTTTCTGATGCCTCCACTTACCCAAGAACTTGAAACCCGTCTTGGATGGCTCCTTGGTTTCCTAACATTTTAGCTCCAACTGTCCAGAGTCCCAGCCAATGGTGTCGATGTGGCCCATTCAGTCCACGTATCACCTGGATGGGGCAGACTAACCCTCTTGTAGCTGAGAAAAGGACATCTCAACACTTCAGAAGGTAGGAGGTAGGAGACTGGTCCGCAGCAAAGGGTTTTGCTCCTGCTGAGCGATCACTGAGCTGAAGACTTGGGCAGCACTGGAGAAGTGGCCAGGAACCAGCAAATTGAACCTAGTTTTCATGATGCTGCCTGATCCACAGCAGACTTTTTTTTTTTTTTTGTAGCTTTTCATCTTCAAGTCTAATTTGTGTTTTTCTCTTTGTTGGAATTTACACGATACTCTGGCTCACCACCAACTATACTCGACATCGCCAATAGGTAAATCATTCTCACGTCACCGTCCTCCCAGAGGCTCCCTGTCTACCTCTAGGACGAAATTTTCTTTCTGAAAATGCATAGAATGAGCTCAAGGTGGGACCCTCTTGTCTTTTCATGGTTTCTGCGAGTTGCCTGGGAGAAAAGGTGGACTCGGAGCTGAAGACTTGGGTAGCCACTTGGAGCAAGTGGAAGGAACCAGAAATGGAATAGTCTTTCATGATCGGTCCTGGAGACTTTTTTCTTTTTTTTTTTTTTTTTTTCTTTTTTTTTGTAGCTTTTCATCTTTAAGTCTAGATTTTGTGTTTTCTCTTTGTTGGAATTTTAACAGATACTTGGCTCACCACCAACTTACTCGACTAAGACATACGCCATTAGGTAACTCATCTCGCTCACTCCTCCAGAGGCTCCACTGTCTACCTCCTGGACAACATGTTTCTTCTTGGAAATGATAGAATGAGGCTCAAGGCTGGGGAGGCCCTCTGTTTTTCAATGTTTCTGCAGTACCTGGGGACGAACAGGTGGATCCCTGGGAACACTAGTCCTGGGTGCTGATGGTGGAGGCCTGGAGGGTGCTAGTGAGCTGTCTCCCCCGGGATTCTGTTTTATGTAGTCAGAAGGATCCTCAATCCAGGTGCTCAGGACAAGCCCCTGGACGGGCTCCCTAAATCCTACACGGACCTTGTTCGCTGGCCCTCAGGCCACAGACCTGCGACCTGACGAAGAGTGGGCGAACAGTGGCTGTCCCTCGCCGCTGTCTGGCCAATATCCTGCATCATACCTGGCACTTGTTACACAGCCCAGAGAGGACCACTGCGGGTGCACCCCAACTCCTGAACATGAGAAGGACTCGGCCTCCCTTCTTGCGAGCTCTGCGGCTTCATCGTTGTGAGAATGGAGGCTCAGATGAAGGAGTGAGGCCTCCATTCCTGTCACTTCCAGTGGAGTCACAGGTGCTTTCCCAATTATTTGAGCTTCCATAGGAGTTGGGCAGAAGTACGGAACCTCACTGCTTCTTTCCACTATGATGGGAAGCCTGAACCTCTGTTTGTATTCATATTCAAGGTATTACCTGCCCACGTGACTTTGGCCATGAGGAACTGCCCTGATGTAGAGAGCGAGGTTGCGAGAATCCTTAAATCCTGACCTCATAACTCAGTATGGAGTGCAAGCGGTTTTGTGTTCCCTGTAGGAACTGAATCCAGTTATGCCCCCTGACGGCCTTGGTGAACTGGACAGGCTTGACCAGGTGGTCAGGGCGAGTGAGGCTCCTATACGCGGAGTCTCGGGGCAC